TGTGCCAGGCAGCAGACTGTGATATGACCCTCCTGCCATTGTCTGTGGCCCTTCAGGACCAGCTGGAGTGTCAGCGCCTAGCCCTCTTGCCGGCAGTTTTAATTGCTCCCTCCTCTGCACTCACACGCCACTTTATTACAGCACTCAGAACTGCTCTTCTCTTCAGAGGGCGTCGTGATTTATTCATGTGCCTTATTAATGGGTCTATTCCCAGTGGCTGGTGCAGCGCCTGGCACACAACAAGGCTCAGGGCAGATCTCATGAGTGAGTAAAGGAGAAGAAATGTTGAATGGGAGACACACGGAGTCACAGGAGTGGGGGCACAAGAGGTGAGGACTTTAGGGAGAGGGTGAATGGAGGAGACCCCCCCTCATCAAGGGACACAGGAAGGGTGGTCCATGTCCAGCCTGTCCACACCTGCTTCTGCCTATCCAGGCCTGTTTATGCTTGTCTTAACTTTTCCACGGCTACTCACATGTGTCCATGTCTGCCTGTGCCTGACCTGTGTCTTCTCATGGCCACACCTGCCCACACCTGCCTATGCCTGCACTCATCTGCCATGCCTCCCTCACCTGTCCATGCCTCCATGCCCACACAACCCTGCCTGTTCATACCTGCTCTCACCTATCCATGCCCACATCTGCCCACACCTGCCCTTACTTGCCCACATCTGCCCAACCTATCTTCACCTGTCCGTGTCCGTACCTGCTTATGCCTGCTCACACTTGCTCACACCTGTTCTCACTGGTTCACACCCACAGTTGCTTATGCTCTACCTTCTCCCACATCATCTGGGACTACTTCCTAGTCACCGTTCCTTCTGCCTCGAAGGAGGGACAGTGTTTGTCCTCCCCTCTCCTGGCCTCCTTCCAGAGCTACCCCCAGCCTCCTCTGGGGATACTTATCCTGTGCACTGGAGTGAGGAGCTGCCCTAGAATGAGTACTCCCTTCCGTGCCCAGGTGTTCTAATGTGATGCAGTGACTGAGCTGATGGGAAGACTGCCTGGGTCTGAGTACTGGCTGTGATGGGGGCAGCAGGCTGTCTTTCTTGTTTTCATCATTCCTACCATCAACACTGTAAAATAAGATGCCAATTATCCTGACCACATCTGGTACTGGGATCCTTGCAGGAACCATCACACGTGGCATGCCAGCCCAGAGCTGGGCATGTAGGAACAGCTCAGACAGCACTGGCTTCCACTGCCAGGTTGTCTCTTTTTCTTATGGGACCAGGAGCTGAGGGACCTCTTGGAGGCACTGGGCGGAAGCTGGATGGTGGCTGTGATGCATGGTTCTAGGAGGAGGCAGAGTGGAGCAGGTAGATGGCAGGTGGGCCAAGCAGAGAGAAGGTCAATGAGTTGGGAGTTTGGGGTGTCGCAGGCCACTTAAGGCTCCAGTGCAGGGGGCACCGAGCTCTCTTCTATGAGATGAAGCCTGATCTCCACCCTACAAATGTGACAGTGACCCATCATGAGTGAATAAGGCTGTCAGAGAACCCGGAGTGACCCTGAGCCTACACTGGGCCTCTTGCCCAGTGCCTCTCCTTGCAAGATTATTTATCCTGGCCCCGTCCTCACTGCTGCAGTTCTCACTCACATGACCCCTTTCTTCACTCATCCATCGTAAAAGTCTCCAGAAACAGGTTTGGCGCAAAGTGAATAAGGCAATAAATTCTGGATTTCTGACGGGTCAGCACGAGAGAAAAATTCTACACTGGGGCTGCATCCCTGCTCTTGTGCCCTGTGGAGCTCTGGCTGGTGTTGAGGTCTGTCTACAGAATCAGGGACTGTGTAGGGAAGAGGAGAAGGGGAAAAGGAAGGCTGCTGAGCCCATCTGACTGCCACGTCCAGGGCATCTCACTGAGGACAGGCCTTCTGGTTTGGCCTGTCTATCACTGCGTAACTGAGAAGATGGGCTGGACATGCCTCATCCATCCATCCATCCATCATCCATCCATTATCCATCCAGCAGTCACCTGGCACAGAGGACAGACACCTAATTTCTTCAAGGGTCACCTTCTTTAAGAAGCCTTTACACAAAAGACCAAGAGAGTACTTGCAATTCTAGTCATAAGAGAAGATTGATTTCCTTGGTAAATAAAGAGCTCCTACAAATCATTAAGGAAAATAAACAACCTAATAGGAATCAGGCCCAGACTAGGAACAAATAGCTCACAGGAGGGACTATAAATGGCTCCAATACCAATAAAGCATGAAAGCAGCCTCATACTCACTCATGTTAATAGCGGCTACTGTGAAACATCACCAGCATGCTATGAACCATATCCCCAAGCTGGTCACCCAACACTGGGTGGTGAGGGCTGCACATACACATGTATTGCTGAGGGTGTGCACAGTCATATAGACTCTTGGGAGCGAAGAGTTCAGGTTGTCAAAGTTCTTTTGAGGATGATCTGGCAGGATCTCGGCACCCGGTATGTACTTGGCCTCTGCCTGGCAGATCACCTCTAGGAATTGTCTCACCTCTATAGATGCAAGATGGTGGTTTTATGAACAAGATTATACAGCAGTATGTTTTTTTCTATCAGCAAAGATTGGAGCTAGCCTAAATGTCTATCACTAGGGGATCAACTAAATAGTGGGTAGTGGATTAATACAATTGAATGCTATGTAGTCTTCTCTCTGTCTCTCTGTCTCTGTCTCTCTCTCTCTCACACACACACACAGAGGGAGAGAGAGAGAGAGACTCAATCAGAATAACAGGAATGGTCTCATTTTGCACTGATATGTCTGAGCTCCAGGATCCACTTTGTTGAAAAAGGGCAAAGCATTCAATGGACTGCACACCAACTACTCTGCTTTGTGTATGTTACCTACTTAAAAAAATATTCACACACATACACATATGCCTAAATGCTTCTAGACATTTCTGTCTGGAAGGACAAAGATCTGTAGACAATGGCTGCTTCAGGAGGCCATTGTCCAAGATTCAGGAGGCCAGAGGAATGAGTAGGAGAGACTTTTGCTCTAAACCATTTCGTGCCTTTTGGATTTTGAATTGTCTGAATATGATACCTACTTAAAAAATGTATCATTTACACTTAAAAAAGGATCAAAGGAGAGAGGCCTAGAGCTGGGAACTGAGCAGCTAAGGAATGAAGGAAGGGCTTGCAAAGAAGGACTAGAGGGACACAGTGCTTGGAAAGATGCAGGGTGGCAGGACAGGGGACAGAATCTGGAAACCAAGGATGAACCAGTTGGAGCATACTTTGGGGCTGTTAGGAAGAAGATATTTAGTGAGAAACATGAGGGATGGATCCTCATCCATGGGAAAGACTTCGGATTTCATGGCAGTGAGGGGCCATCAGCACAGACAGACAGTTTGACTACAGGAGGAACCTCCTGAGGGCTATGAGGGGAATGGTGTTGGGGAGCTAGGGTGCTTGATTCTCCACCCAGTCTTTCCTACCACTGGTTCCTTCATCTTCAGTAGTTCTAATGGCTAGTTGGAACTAACTCTAACCTAGGAGAAAATGCAGGTGTCAGAAAGAGAGACACCCATCTTAAACTCTTAGAGCTGGGAATCAGGACTCACACTCAAGTCTGTGTGTCTGCAAGCCAGAGGGTTTTTTTTTTAAAAAAAAGTACATATATGTGTGTGTGTGTGTGTGTGTGTGTGTGTGTGTGTGTGTGTAGTGTGGAGGTCAGAGGACAACTTGTGAGAGTCAGTTCTTTCCTTCCACCATGTGGTCCTGGGGATTGAACTCAGGTCATCAAGCTCAGTGGCAAGTCCCTTTATCCGTAGAGTCATCTCTCTGGCCCAACTCTGAATTCCGAAGACAGCCTCATGATGGATGATCTCTTAGATGCTGGGCTCTATGTGCCCCATGATGCTCACAGGTAGAGAGTTGTGGTTCTCGTGGCCCAGCGCTCTACCCTTCAACTGTAGGCATACAACCAGTTCTGTCAGGTATGTGTGTGAGAACACAACTTGTCTCAGCTGCTCCCATCCTCTTTGGGAACTTTACTGTTTCTCCCTCTCCCCGCAGGCAGGCATCATGGCTACTCAAGTTCCATTCAGCCACTAGGAGAAAGGTAATAAAAGTCTTGAGGACTAGCTTTCCTCTCAGGACATCATAAGCCAGAAGCAGACTTCTCCCAGGCAGCAACAGGAAGGTTGGCAGGTTTCCTCAGGGGTGGAGTCAGGGAGACACATTTGGCTCCAGTTATACCCAGCCATCTAAGTTTCCTGGTCATTTGGTTTGCATTTTCCCCTGCATTTCTTCACATGCCTGTTCCTCTAACTCCCATTCTAAAACTATGACAAACACTAAACCATCAGACAACAATTCACTGAAGGTTGACTGGTTTGTCAGAGGTGAAATTGGGGCTCAACTGGGACCCTTGTCTTGAACACCAGATCTTTCTACCATGGCCTTTGTGACTGTGTGTGTGGTCACACTTGATTTCTATGAAACAAATCTATAAACACCTTGCGATTTCCTTTATAACATTAATAAGAAGAGACTGGGCTGCACCTGGGACTATATAGGTTTTTGTGATGCTTGTGACCAGGCTTTGGGCTTTTAGGTGCTGGCCCTGGATTCTGGTAGCCAGGATGGGACAATAGGCAGCTCAAAGGCCTGGGCCTCCAGATATGAAGGGCAACCATTGACTAATTAAGAGGTGGGGTGGGTGTGCCAGGAGAAGAAGGGTGCATTGTGTTGCAGAGAGCTGCTGAAGTCAGCTCAGGGATCTGGGAACCTAAGGCTACCCTGTCTCCTGGAGAAGACCTACCATCCCATTGCAAGGAGGTCTGTGGATGACGCTGGCTGGGTCCAGAACTGACTCCTAGGCTGACCGCATTCCTCTAGTTCCTGGTTTTCCTGATCTAAGAGGTGGAAGGTCTTGAGGTTTCTTCTAGGCTTCCTCCTGACTCCATAACCTTGGAAAAGTCATATATGTGAACTTTACAAGCCTTAATTTTTCACATGCAAATGAGAACAAATTATACATGTGTTTCTTACACCCCTAGAATTTGGGGAGGACCAACTGGTTGAATGGATGTGTGAAGCTGTAGAGCACCGAGCACGCTGTTCTCTGACATGGGTAAGAATGGCTGCCCCCCATTAACATCACCTTCAGTACCAAGCTCTACCCCAAATGGGTACCTCCTTTCTTAGGGAAACCGTAGGGTCAGCTCCCATTTTCAACTTTTAAATTTTTACTTTTATTTTATATGTATGAATGTTATGCCTGCATGTATGCAAGTGCACCTGTGTCATGTAATGTCCACAAAGGACCAAAAAGGGCATCAGATCCCCTGGAACTGGAGTTACTGATGGTTGTTAGCTACCATGTGGGTGCTGGGATTCGAACCTGGGTCTTCTAAAAGAACAGCCAGTGCTCTTAACCACTGAGCCATCTCTCTGGACCCCATTTTTCAACTTTTCAACTAAAAATACTTTATTGCTTTTCTAATTCCAGTTAATTAATTTTACAGTGTTGGGAATTGAACCCAGGGTCTTGTCCACACCAGGCAAACCTTCTACCATTGAGCTACACACTTGGCTATTTTTTAATTCTAAAAGCAATACAGGTTTAGTGGAACATATTCAAAAAGTATTCTGATTAAAAAGAAAAGGGCTAGGAGACAGCTCAGTCATAAAGTACTTACCTTACATACATGAGGACCTGAGTTTGGTTCCTAGAACCCATGTAAACAAATCTGTACATGATGGCATGTGTTTGTAATTGCAGTGCAAGGAGTAAGGAGTAAGACATGTGCATCTTTGGAACTGGCCTGCTGGTTAGCCAGTCCAGCCTACTTGGTGAGCTCCAGACCAGCGAGTGATCCTGTCTCAAGGGAAAGGTGGATGGTGCTTGAGGAACAACACCTGAGGTTTTCTGGTCTCTATATGCACAGGGGTACGCGTACACACACATATACTAAAAAAAAAGATTATTGTAGCTGATTGTGTCACCATTAGATTTTAGGGACTCCATTTTTCTTGTCTGGTTTGGTTCCCTCCCTCCCCCTCATACCCACTAAATCTGGACTGACAACATCTGACAGCTACACTGTTTCTATTCCATCCAGTGGCAGTCCTACAGATGGCAAAGTCCTCCCTGCCATGCCTGGGGTCTGCTTCAGAATTCTGAACACAGTCCCAGGCAGGCCCTGCTGATCATCTCTGAGCCTGGAGGACAGGGAGATGCCGTGTTCCCCAGGTCCTGGTGTAGATATGCTAGGACCCAAGGCTGTGGAGGACAGTCCCTGAACCCTACCCTGTGCCACAGGGAGTTTCCTTTTATCTGAACCAGGCATCTCAAGTGGGTGGCAGATAGTGGCTTCCATGGGAGAGTTCCCAGAAAATTTCAACCAATTAAAAAAAAAAATAGAAGAAAATAGATTGAAACCTGCGAAGTCTCTGGAATGGAGAGTGACCTCATGAATTCACACCCACACTCAAGCTAAGATCCTGTGGCTCAACAAGAAACTGGGTGGAGCTTGCTATCACTGATGCTCTGACCTCTAAAGTGAATGGAAGCCACGGAGGCTGGTTCCTCTGTGCAGTGTCTCCATGGTTTTCTCACATCCCTGGCATGCAAATTAGCTTGGGCTTCCATTTTACAGATGAGAAAACTGAGCAGGGCAGCGGTCCGTAGCCTCAGACAATCAGCCAGTAGTTTGTTGATGATTAAGTCAGGCCTTCAGATTTTGGGGTTTCCGCCTTCTTGAGCAGGCCACACAGTCTATCTGATGTCACTGCAATTTGGAACATTTCTGTATGTCTATAGGTGTTGGGAGAAACACACTGTCGGTGTTATGCCACCACCCTTGGCATCCATCCCTGGATCAGATGGGAGTCCTGGATGGCTGACTTATCTTGAAGTGCAGAGGCAGAACCAGGCAGGCAGCCAGCCCATTGGATTCTGCTCTGGCTAGAAGCTTCTGTGGCCCATAGCACTTGAGTTCCTTCATGAGTTGAGGATGGCTGCCTGGCCTAGGGTTGTAGCTCAGTGATAGAGCATGTTCCAGGCCGTGGACTTCAGCTCCAGCACAGGAGGAAAAATAAAGGCTTCCAGAGCCAACCTGCCAGGTTCTTTCTCCACCTACTTACTAATGGCACAACCTTTAACCAGTCTGTTTCTCAGTTTCCTCACCAGATAAATGCAATAATACTTCTTTCACAAGGTTGCTTCAGACTTGAATGGGTTAATCACACTGGACGAACGGGGGCAGTTCCAGTTATGATGAGGGCTCAGGGAACCTCAGTGGTAACAGGAAGGACCCTGAACCTCAGGCCCCCCTCCAGATTTCACCGTGGCGCCCCCCACAGGTGCTTCACTGCGGCCCCGCTCAAAGAAGCTTTCTTTCAGTATCCTATTCCACTTGAGCGACATCCATCCTCTTCCAGGAAGTCTTCCTAGATCGGTAGACCTGGGGCTCGGCCTCCTGCTGTAGGCTCCCCGCCCCCACTGCCAATGCCACCCTTTGGCCTCAGACAAAGCGGGCACCAGCAGCAGGAGCAGCAGCCGGGCTGGCTCGGGTGGCTTTCATGAAGCTGGGGCTCCGGGGAGCCCATGCCGGGCTGGTCTGCTTTGAATGCTATTTGCATTGCAATAGGCGAGCCTGGCCTTCAATACAGGCCCCTTCTCTTTTGACAGAGGAGCTTCACAATCGCCTATTGACCGGGCACCTGTTCCTGCCCCAGACGCTATGCAAATGCCGACCAGGAGCGAAGCCGCCAGCCCCTCGGGCCATTGTGCATTGAACCCTGATGGCGCCCTGCCAGCTCCCAGCCGGCCTTTGTTCCCCGGCTGCGCTGCGCCACCCCCGCCACCGCCTCCGCCCGCCCGAGGTGCCCTGCCGAGGAGCCGCCCGCTGACAGCCACTTGGGTCCTTGCACCTGAAGAAAGGCCTGGCAAGCTGGAGGCCTGGCCCACGCTGAGGCTGGGCCAGGGGCCCGGAGAGAGGAGACGGGCAGCTCGCGGCCTGGGCCCATCGCATCCTGTCCCCAGGGACCCCGGAGAAGGGGCCTGGCAGGCGGTGGAGGGGGCAACCCGGACCATGCCATCTGGGGGCGGAGAGATTATAATAATCGCTCTCACATCTGCTGAGGGCTTTCCCGCCGCAAAGCCCTCTCAGGGCTGGTCTCCCTGCAGGCACACCTGCCCCTGGAGGAGGCCTGGCTACGATTGTGCCTTTCATGCAGGAGGGATTGCGGTCCCCAGCGGGGAGCTGGCTGAGGTCGCAGAGTGGGGAGGAGGCTCAAATCCAGGGCTGCGGATGTCTCTGCCTCCCAGACTTTAGGCACAGGGCTTGGCTTCTCTCCTTCATCTCATCCACCTATCCTTCAGCTTGGCAGTGACGCCTCTGCTCCAGGATGCAATGCCCTGCAATACCCTGCAGAGCACGGCCATCAGCCTTTCATCTCTTCTGGACTCTGGTTTTACCATTGTAACTGGATTTTTTAGGCTGCTCTGGCAGCTCCAACAGGCTAGGCTTGGTCACCCATCCCAGGACACCAATTAAAGAGACAAATAATGAAAAACGGAGAGAGGAGATTTAATCAACGCGGCCACACTAGGAAGAACAGATAAAGGGGTCCAGTGATGCCATGTTCCATCTCTGGGGTACTGATGAGCTTTAGGTATACACAGAAGAAGACCCTGGGCTGTGACAGGAAGTATATACGTAATTAAGCAGTACTGGTCAAGGTGTGGTCCTGCCTGTCGGTCATTGCCTTAGGTCTGATGTCCTTATTTCAGGAGTAGAGAAGCTGGTTCTCAGAAGATGCTATTTCTCCTCCAGGGTGCAGCCTCACTCTCATGGATAATTGCCCTCATCTGGGGGATGTCTAGGTTCTGCCGTTCTTGAAATCCAAGGACACCCCCAACTTCAGACTTTCAGGGATCTGGAATAGAACACTGTAAAAAGCTGACAGTAAGATACCTTCAGCCTGGAGCGTGGAGGAGGTAGATTAAGTGGCCCTGGTTTCTAGATCAGTGGCTAACACGTCTGTATGCAAAGGCATGCAGCCGATCCAGAGCATAGGAGCACAGAAGGAGAGCAGAGGTGCTAGGCTTTCACCCCACTTTTACTTGCCTTGTAGGCCCAAGAGAGGAACGAATGCTTTTTTATTTTTATTTTTTGCACAGGCAGCTTCCTAGTGCCTGCAAATGCCATCCTTTACCCTGGGCAGGTTTTCAAAGACCCAGCAGCATCACCTGGTACGTGCTGAAATGCCGGTCCCTGGTCTCCAGTGCGGACCTGCTGAACCAAAGGCTGGGTGAGCCTGTTCTCCAAGTTTGTCTGAGTGTCCATGTGATCTGATGCACAGACAAGTTTGAAGACCACCCACCCCAGCAATATTCCCATTTCCCTTCTCCACCCAAGTCTTAGCTGACATCATTTCCTCCTCCATAGCTTGACTTCTCTCTCTGGGCCACCATTGCCACTCTACTCTGAGCATTACTGACTCACCACTGGTCCCATGTTTTAGGGGACCCAAATGAATGAGGCCTGCCTTAAAGCAAGAGTGTAGTGACTGCGTCCAGCATTTCTATTCCATCTTCTCAAAGCAGAGAACTGGTGCTTTGATAGAAGGAAGCCAGAGTGGTGCTGGGGAGGACACATGGTGAAGGGGCAGGGAACAGGGGGCAGTGCTGGGTCTTAAAGGGTAAGGAACAATTAACAATTTCAGAAGGAAAAGCTACAGCCTCCCTGGCTCAAGACCTCAGAGGAAGCCTCTGCCATAAGTGTGTGTTATAAGCAAGTCCAGCTAGGATGGGGAGGAGAGGCCACGCCGAGCGGTCCAGATGTCTTGTCATACTTTCTACATACTTGTAGTTAAGTGGAGAATCTCACAAAAGGGGCATCCCTCTGCTGGGGGCCACGAACCTGCAGCAGCAGCAGCAGCAATGGGCTTTGGTAGGATGATATTCTGGTCCCATCCTGCTTCTGACACCCAGCCCTATCTATCTCTACCTCTTGTCTTTGCCTCACCAAGGGGAGACGTCAGGGCAGAAGTGGCACAAAGCCACAGCATGACCCCATGGACTGTCCAAGGTGTCCCTCTCTCCCCAGCTCTTTGGCCCTGATAATCTTTTAGTCGATGCCAATGGCTTTAACGAGTTTGGCCCAAAGCAGGGAAATGTGATCTCTGAGAGGCTGGTGCAAGGTTTGCAGAGCCAAGGGCTGCTCTATCTCACAATTTGTCTTCCTCAAGCACTGTCTCAGCACTCTCTGCCTAAAAGACAAATGGGGAAGAAACAGAAGTACAGTCATTCCTGTCTAGCCATGCTCCTTGTTATGGCATTCAAGGCCCCGTCTGGTCCCAATGGTCTCTCCAGTGCTCCCTGCCCTGGTCTCACTGCTTTGATATTCTCTTGCACCTTCCAGGCTCTGCAGGTATCCTTTCAACACTCCTTCCCTCTGAGTCTGTGGGACTAACTTTTCAAGCTTACAGACTCTCATGATTGTGAGGACTCTAATCCATTTTGGTCAAGAAAGATTTAGTATCTATCTACTGGGCACTAAAAGAGGCCAAGAGTGAAATTGCCCATCCTCCAAAGAATCCCCATTGTGGGGATGAGCTGGAGCAATGTGTGATGTGGTTGAATTAGGTTCAAGTGGGCAAGGAGAAAGGAGGGATAAAGAGACCCAAAGGTCTCCACTGGAAACCAGCTTAGCTGGTCAAAGGGGCATAAATGAGGGGGGAACTAGGAGTGCTGGCTGGATTTCCAGATGTGCAGACAGTAGTGTTGCTCTTCAAATGGGACCAGAGAGGCACATGTGTCAGATGGTAGAGGAAGAGTGGAATGTCAGCTAAGCTGAGGGGGAGCTGTCCGTGGCACTGATGGAAAGTGCCCCCTGGGAGGTTGGGGTGAACTCTGGTTGTCTGGGAGGGTCTGTGCTGGCACTGACCCCTGGACTCCAGTGTCCTGAGGTGGTCGTGGGGTTTGGGTAGGCTCTCCTGAGCCCTCTGGCAGGCTTCACAGGTAGTTGCTCTGCCTCTGCTGTCCTGGTTATACATTCTCCCCATCCTCAGAGCACTGGACTGCCAGCTTTGCTGGTATCAGGAAGGCAGGGGTGGGTGTAGGCTGGGGCACTGCTATGGCTTCTGGGTCACTGGGTCTGGTGACTTGAGGATGCCTTGGTTCCTTTGCAGCCTCACCTTGAGTGACTTACTTTTCTGCTGGGATCTTTGAGGAAATGTTTAAGAACATTTGGAAGGAAAGGGACACATTCACAGAGGAGCAGTGATGTGAGTCCTGATCTACCATGATGTCAGAGCAACCATGACACTTTAAGAGCGTGAGGACAACAAACAAATGAACAAAACCCAACAAAAAGATATGATTTTATAGAGCGGGAGAGAGGGGGGCTCCAGAGAGGAACAGGAACTCACTTAGGCACACATAGAGAAACCTAGATTCATGCCTCTTGGAGGTCACATCTCTGGCATACATGGGCATTTGACTATGAGGAGAAAGAGCCCAGTCAGGCCCTTGTAGATACTAGGTCCAAATACCCCACCTTGGCCCAGCACTCAGTAGAATGTTCTAGACTCCCTAAGGCATTGTTACATGATCTGTTGTTCTCCCCAAGAACAGGCTGAGAGCCACTGGGGGCCAGTATGGAATGCATTCTTATACAAATTATCCAGCTCTTTAAGAAACAAAAAGGCCTCCCTCTTTGAGCTGAATCTTATGGCCCAGGCCTGTAAGAGAGGCTGAGATAGGAGGATTGCAAGTTCAAGACCTGCCTGAGCTGCAGAGTGAGTTCAAGGCTAGCCTGGGCAACTTAATGAGACCCTGACTCAAAGAAGTAAAAAGAGGGCTGGGGATGCAGCTCAGTTCTAGGATGTCTAGCATGTGTGAGGTCCTAGGTTCAATTCCCTCTCTCCTTTGTTGGCTGTGGAAACAGTAGTTGAAAGGATTAGGCTCCTGATTCATCCCTGTCTGTGCTGGGGTAGAAGCAACATTTGAACCAGGAGGACTGGCTCCCACTTTCTTTGCCACTGCTAAACACAGTTGACTAACACCTAGTAAACCTGAGGGTGACCCTGCTATCAGCTCCTTGGGAGCTGGCTTCAGGAAGTGCCTAGCTTAGGGAAGGGGCTCCTAGGGTTCCCTGCACTCATCAACCTACTTCACCTCATCCTTGGTAGGGTTCTCCCCACAACCCAGTTAGAGTGGGAGACCCCACTGAAGACTCACTTCTGCCATAGTGTTACCTGGAGATCCTTCTTGGTCTTGTAAGGGAGGGGAGCATGATTCTGTCATTTTATACTCTTGACAGTCGCCATCAGCTCTGGATACCCCCACCTGGAGGCCTCCATCCTTGGCTACAAGAAAACCTCTTGCTCTTTGTGGCTTTGTGTAGGGCTCCTTAGGAATTGTGATCCAAGTTTCCTGCCCTCCCTGGTCCCCAGCCCCTGATTTACAATTTGCAGAAATTGTGTTTTCTTTGTGAACCCTGAGTTGGGGAGGATAATGGAGCAAGAGCTCTTCCCTCAGCTGTCAGGTAAAAGCATGGGAATAGCTCCTCTCAGATGCTTTGCTTTAGACGTGTTTCCATCAAGAGCAACCTGAGGGCTCCCAGTCCTTCTGGCCTTTGTCCCTCAAGAAGGCTGTCCCCTCCCTCCCATGCTCATGCGTTTTCCTATGGGTTTCGGCCTCAATCCATCCTCTGGTCTGTTCTGAAGTCCCATGCTATGCCAGAAGCTCTGTTGCTGTGGGCCTACTGTGTGCCAGGCTCTGGGCCAAGACCTTTTATGCCTTCTCCCACTCTTAAAAAAGAAATCTTTGGCTCCTCTTGAGTTCTCTTTTTTTCCCATTATAAGATTGAATTTACCATCCCATTTCACGAAGGGACAAATGGAAGCTCAGGGAGTAACAGGGTCAACCCAGGACTGTGAGGTGGTGTGAGATGGAGCTGGAGCCTGGACAGCACCGCTGCTTCCTTACCTGTCCACTCTCTAATTTCCCACAATCCTTTTGGCAGTTCTACTGTCTTACAAAATAAGGGCCCCAGGCGGGGGTTGCCAGGACTTCTGATGCGTTCTCAACCTCTTCTTGACCACTCAGGCCTGAAATAGTCCTTCTCTGCTCTCTCACCTGGGAGGGAGACAACCTCATAGTGGGAATGTGGAGAAAGTTGTTCCTGGTGGAACAAATGCAGTGACTGTCCAGTCTGAAGGACTCAGAGCTGAGTGGGCCTTCACATCTGGCCAATGTATTCAGGGACTATTCTAGAATTGGTATGGTTCAACTACAGCATTTAGATTCTGTTCCTACAGAATGTAGCTAGGGGTCCTGGGCAAGCTTCTCAGTCTCTGTGTCTCACTTCTATTTTGACATCTATCAAACCACAATAATACCAGTCATGCCTGCGTGGGACCCATGATACTCTGGTGTAAGAGGCACTGGCCCAGTTGGGTGCCTGGGGGCAGTAATTAGCCTCAGAGCAGTGAGGTGCTCTGGGTACACTGGCTCTGAGGCAGAACATGCTGATCCTCCTGGCT